ATTCAACCTGTGATACAGGTGTGTTATTTCCATACTAGCCTCTAGCCTCAAGCAAAGTAATGAAAAAGTCTCAATCCGGTGAAGTCTGTTGCCCTAACTTATTTCTAACTCCAAACACTTGTTTTTGTTTGTTTGTTTGTTTTTTTGCAACTCAATAAAAGGAGACTCAGGTGACACCACTTCAAACATGATCTGATTACTGACAGTTTTCATCAGAGCCGCAAACAATATAAACCAAATTTTTAGCATCCACAGTGGTCAACGCAGGAGCAAATATCAGAACATGTATCCATAAGCTGAATCCCAAAGGTTTCTGCAATGTTGTGTGTGGTGTACAAAGATTCATATTCACTGCTGTGCCTCTCTGTGACTGTTTTCAGGTTGTGCCAGGGCGCAAATAACGTTGGTGAGTGTTAATCATACATCTACTTTTTAAAAGAAACAATGTATTTCTGCTATTTGTCCTACATTTTGACCCGTCTCATAAGAAGCACTACGACTGTTTAGTCTGTTCTGCATGTATATACTGTATATCCACTCATTTTAAGTACATTTACTCTGATTGTTTATAACTCCATGTATCTTGTATCCAGAATACCTGCTCAGGCGTTCTTGCATAAGGGAGGATTCTGCTGCTTCAAGATTTGTTCATTATTGACTGAAGACAAACACCAGACACTTTCAGAGGACAATAATGTTTGGATTATGCAGTTACTCACTTTGCCCACTTTTCAAAATAATGGAGGGGCTTTACTTTGTCTACAGAAATAACAGCTATGCATGATAAGCATTAATAAATTGTACTCAATAAAATCTTTGTGACGATCACAGGGTCAGTTATTCACAAACATCCGTGTTTTTGAGAGCTGATTTTATTGGTCATTGAGACACGGTTTAAAAAGAGCACTGTTTCAGAATGTCAAGAAATAAAACTTTACAAGTAATTCTGTGCAAATGCCAAAGAAAAACAAAATCCATCAGCAAAACAAGCTTAAGATGCAACAGTTACTATTTCAATTATTATCTTTAGCTTTACAATTTAATTTCCATCTGTTTTTTAATTCATTTCTTACCAAAAGCAGATTGAATAGAACAATTTTTGTAATATATATATATTTGGCTATTTTGTGCTTTTATGGAGAGATAGGTCAGTGGATAGAGTCAGAAATCAGGGAGAGAGAGAGAGTAGGGAATGACATGTCGGAAATGAGGAAACCCGCTTGGAGGACCACAGCCTCATTTGACTTTAGAGTCACTGATTAACATAAGGAATAAAGGCGCCCCTGTAAGCTCAATAGTGTAATACCCAGATAGAGCACACCTTCCTGTCCTTCTGTTTCAAAATGGGAACCACTCCTATCAATTTACAGGCACTGTCCCAGACCTCCATGTGACACTGAAGAGACGTGTTAGCAAAGAGAGCCCAACACACTGTCAGGAGCATTCTCCCTGCCACTGAAGAACACTTTGACTACCTCAGAGACCACTGCCAAAGATGGTTGAGACTTCCACTGGATCTTTGAAATGTGCCACTTCATCAGATGCATGCTACTTTGGTTCAGTTCTTCCTTTTAAGTGTTTTTAACACAGTTCAACATCTTCAGACAGCAGCTCTCCAACCCTGCAGAAAACAGCAGTAAACAAGCCCTGCTTTCCTTCCTTGGTTCTTGAAACTGTAAGAACTTCCTTGAGGTCAGCCAAAACCCCCTATCCATAGCCTCCCAGCCTCTTCCCACACCCAGGTTTTAGCTGGAGTCTTCCGGCCCATCTGGTGCTTTTCTGCTGGGCTATCTGAGTCTGAAAGATTTCTTCAGATTCAATGGCTGCTGTCATAGCAGGCACCAACACTTATTGAGAGCCAAAAGAAAAGGGGCTCAAGCTCCTGTCTTACCTTCTCTCCTTAATACTTTTGTCCTGGCAGATGAAGTATGCCACCTAGCTGTACCTGACCTTACTTTTATGACATTGTAATGAAACATATTTGATGTCAAGAGAAAAAAAGACATTTGTGAGACTTTTCTCATCTGGATAATCATTCACTACATGGCCAAGTCTGCCCTCCAATACCTAACACCATACACTATATTTCTACTGTTCAGTCACATGTTTAAAAGTGGATGAAAGAGGTGCAGAGCACAGGGAGATCCAGCAAGTTGGCTCATAGACCGACAAGGAGACTCAAAGGCAATCTTTTTCATAACATCATAATCATCCATAACAATCCATAACAATTCTTGTATTTAAGTGCACAATCTAAAGTATGGTCCCTGTGCTGTGCCAATCAAATCACCTACAAGTATATGTCACAGTTTCCTCTGTGTTACTGCAGGCTAACCTTTGCCCTGGCTGTGTTTGGTATTTCATAATGTAATGCTGACCTCTGATCACAGCAGTCCGGGAAATCATTTGGAAATCTGGACTCTAAACAAATGAATCTCTGTTGTGGTTTGACAAACATGGGAGAAACTAAAACATGCTGCAATGTTTGCTGAATGTTTTAACCGTTAAATGTACTCAATTTAAATTGAAACTAAAGACTTAAACCACATTTAGTTTATTATTCAACATCTTTATCATGATTGAATCAGCTTTCAGATTATGACCTTTAAATGTATTTGCGATCTCTCTAAGTTCCCATTGTTTGTATGCACATAGCACAATATGAATATGATGTAATGGTTGTAAAATACTCAATCATTATGACTACATTGATGAAGTATTCTATAAATGTTCATTTCTGTCTTGTAATGATCTTTATATGTCATAACTCTGACTTATGTTAACATTATGATAAAGAGACCGGTGTGTTGAACTGTTTTTAACCCCCGAGTGTGTCTGCAATGTTGTTTGTTTCATTGAATCAGTGTGTGGGCTTGGAGTAACGAGGGGTGTCAGAGTCACAGATACTGACTCTTTACTCCACATTTCTTCACTTTTTGGGGAAGTGCCCTCAACAATCATTAATCTGTTCTGATTTGAAATGGGCTCTTCACTCTAACATTTTTATTCCTGACAAAATGTGGGTGAGATATCTCGGGTTTGTTATTCTTTTCGGCCTTCCAGGAGCACTGCATGGTAAGAACATTAGACTCAACATTAGACCTAACATTTACATTGTTTTTTTTTGTTTTGTTTTTTATGATAGTGTTGTGCTCTTATTTTTACTCATCTTTTCTTTTTCTTTTTTTTAAGCTCAAAGTGCAACTCAGCCTTGTGGCGCTCCAGGCTTTGATGGTGGGTTTTTTTTCCCGAAACAAGAAACATATTCTCATGAAATTGAGATAACTTACGCCTGTGATAGTGGACGTAAACCTGCAGTGAAGGGATGGTGGGCAACAAGCACATGTCAAAACGGGGTATGGTCTCCTGAACCGCAATGTATAGGTAAGTGTTTGTTTGAATGAGACACTGAGAGCCTGTAATAGCGCTTGTCATGCTAAACTGTATGTAATGTTCAAGTTTTATGTTTGTTTGTTTTTTTACCTCATGAAGTCATCAATCTTTCAATTTATGAAACTTTAGTCTGAAACGGCTTCCTTTAGCAAATGTTATTACATTTCTTAATGAAACTCTTCTGTGGTGAGCTTTATACTATGTGCATGAAGAAGCAACATTTTCATCCTCTGTCTGTTATATGCATCCAAATAATCACTGAGTTCTTAGTCAAAAGCAACGTGTAACAGAAGACGCCATCAGAAGACGCTATCAAAATGGCCGTCTTTTCCTGTTCCTGCTAACACTTTTTTCTTTAATTGTTTACAGAGAGCATCCTTGCATGTGGTGAACCCCCTCAAATCCCCCATGCAGTCATTGTTGGTCAGAGATATCAGGAGGTGTTTGCTGCAGACTCCAGTGTGAAATATGAATGTGAAGATGGATACTCTGTGGAGGGAGCAGAGAGCAAAAAAACCATCTTCTGCATATCCGGAAACTGGACTGAAGGCCCAACGTGCAGTAAGTGAACTAACCGCTAAGATGTAAAAAACTTCAAGACCTCTCAGAACTTAAAAAACATTAAAACATGTTAAAAACATTGCTCCGTGGTGCTAGTAGAGGGTAATGCTCAGCAGGGTCCTTTCTACTGTCTTCATTCATTTTTATCATCCACACTGCAGCTGCTCTCAGAAGAAGAAAAAACACTTCTAAACTTATTGTGTGTTACTTCCCCAGCATTGAACCATGACCTTGAAGTGTAAGCAGCTTTAGCAGGGGAACTATTAAGCAGCCATGATGAGAAGTGCAGTTAGTGGAGACTGTAGACCAGCAGTGCATGACAGCATTTGGCCAGTCGTCTTTCTCAGCTAAAGGCCCACAGATTGAGAATACCCCTCCCATCAGACATAAAAACATGAACTGACTCCAAAGGTTTGAATAACAAAGCGAAACAATGGCTTAAACAAAGGCAAATCTGCAAATACTAAATACATGTGTTTTATAGCACAGCATATTTTATCCTCTTTTACTTTTTTGTTCATAGCTGTTATTTCAGTCATTATTATTTATTCTCATTCTTATTCATCATCATCATCAATTTGCTTGTCTATGTCTGACTTACTTTTATGCATCTATGTCTGAGTCTCTGCAATCGTCCATTTCCATCTCTATTTTACAGCCTTGTTGTATCATGTGTGTTATTTCCTAAAAGCCTAACCAGGAACAGGGAGTGCAAATTAGCCATGGCTAGAAGTCCTATGTACATTGCATCGGTTGCACTTTAATGAAGATGTAACAATGCCTACATGAATAGTCCCTGACAAATAAATTAGGAGCTGAACAGTCAAATATTTCCCTCAAGAGTCTGTAGATATAAGGTGACCAGAAAGTCAATCTTTTATCAATATTTCTTTAAACTCAGAGTTACAAATTTCTACATAAACAGGATTAGAATGAAAATACAAATAAACACGGCTTTGACTTTACAAATGTGTTTTGGAAGCTGAGTAACAGTCCAGGAGTTTTCTTTGTCCTTAATAAACCACCATTTCAATCATATAAAATATAAGAATATACTACAATTGATCTATATATCTGTTTCACTCTCAGTCAGAGGAACTAGACCAGGTAGCGGAGGAGGTGAAGGACAAACTACATCTTCTGACAGAACACAACCTGCAGGTGGAGGTAGGTAAAAGACATAAACTGTGTGAGATGAAAATAAGTTTGTCCATGTATCTGATCTGAACACACTTCATTTACTTGTAAATAATACATATTTAAAGTAATGTTTGATCCTTTGAGGCAGCAGACCAGGTACTGGACAGGGTGGTTCTGCGGGTAGGGGAAACATTCCATCAGCTGGCAGTGTGGCCCGGCCTGTGGGTGGTATGTGTAAATTTGTATAAATAAAATGTTTTAAAATCTTAAAAATGGAGAATAAAAGCGCCTCTGACAAATGTGCTAAGTACTATTGGCCTTTTTGGATGATTTAGCAACAAATCTGGGGTCTGATCATCATTTCCTGTACAAAAAAAAGCAAGAAAGAAATACATACAGTATATATATATATATATATATATATATATATATATATATATTTTTTTTTTTTTTTTTTAATGTGTTCTCTTCCTGATGAAATCACCCAGGATTCATGTCTCCCTGAACAGTACTTTGAATTAATATATATTTTTAATTTTTAAGTTCATAATCTATATATATATATATATATATATATATATCTAATTTAGATTTATATGACTACAATTTCTTGATGTATAGAAATCCATCTTCTGGTGTTGGAGTTTATTTGCAGGTTATTTCTTTTTTGATGCTTTGATAACCTGCTGCTATAACAATGTCAAAGTTTGGGGTCAATGAAGTATAAATCCATCCATCTATCTCTATCTTTTCACTTTTGTTTCTTAGTCAGAAACTGTGGAACTTTCCCTACGGTTGCCAACGGTGAAGTAGTGGAATCGAACGAATCGTTTTTGAAGTACAGCTGCAAAGTTTTTTACAAACTAGTTGGTCCAGAGACAGTGCTGTGTTATGGCAACGGCACATGGTCCAATATACCCATCTGCAGAGGTATAAACAAGTCTATTATAAAGTAAAGTACAGATTTGTATGATGGGGAGAGAGGGGGTTGTTGAAAAAAAACTCTGTTTTCTTTTTGTGCAGATGCCTACTGTGCTGTGAACACTGATGAACATCCACTGTTAGTTTCAGTCGGAAAAGTCTTTATAAAAGAGGGAGAGGAAAAAGAATTTGACTGTGTGCATCAGGATGAGTGGTGGTTTAATAGTTACTCAGTGGGCAAGTGCACGACTGAAGGACTGAGGTTACAGAAATGTAAGTATATCTTCATAGCTCATTTCATATGTTTCAGCTAAAATAGAACTACTTCACAGAGACATCTTTCTTTTCTTATTATCACTTGAGATAAGTGAGTGCTGGTCACCTGCGAGATCATTTCACTGATTGTCCTTTTGACAACACATTGACTTAACTTCCATCTTCACATCAACATGATGAAGGTCCTTATGTCTCCATTTAAGTTTCATCTTTTTTTTTTTTTGATCAGTTTTGACCAATCAATGAAAGGATTTGTCCCAAACTTCCAATATGTAAAATCTGCAACCTGGATCTACCCGGCCCAGTTGTTTAAGTTAATTTCATCAGATTAAAATTATCATGTCGAATCAAACCTTAAAAACAGATTGTTTAAAAGAAAAAAAAAGTGAAGTCTGGGTTTAACAATCCTGTTTTTTATTTATTTGGATTAAAAGCCCCCAGTTTGTGCTTCGGTATTCAAAAACTCTGAGTAGGATTGGGATAACTGTGATGTAGTAGTAGTAAATATTTCACAACACTGTTAATACAAAACAGACACTGTGTTATTTAAAGCTCTTGAGAGAATCCTTCCGTTTGTGTGGATTTTGGCGCCCCCTTGTGAAGTATGAAGTCCCATTAAGAGCACTGGTTCATTGTCAAGAGTTCAATTAGCAGATTGATACCATGCTCATGTCTGTACGTCATAAATAAAGCTACAGCTAGCAGCCATTTAGCGTAGCTTAGCATAAAGAACAAAGACACAGTAAAGTTCACAAATTAAATGTTAAAGAGTCTTGTTCCTTTAATCCACACAAAAATGACGATAAGATGTCACAAAGACTTATATCTTGACTATTGCTTAGCAGAAAGTCTTGTCTTGTTTATTTACTCTCAAGAGGAATAGATTAACTTTGTTTAAAGAATCCGAATGAACAGAACAATAGATATTGTGTCTTTCTTTGTTTTTTTCCAAGCATTCTTCTATTTTTCTAAGATAGCCGCCTGTATTACCCACAATGCAAGTCAGCATTTAACTATTCAACCTGTGATACAGGTGTGTTATTTCCATACTAGCCTCTAGCCTCAAGCAAAGTAATGAAAAAGTCTCAATCCGGTGAAGTCTGTTGCCCTAACTTATTTCTAACTCCAAACACTTGTTTTTGTTTGTTTGTTTGTTTTTTTGCAACTCAATAAAAGGAGACTCAGGTGACACCACTTCAAACATGATCTGATTACTGACAGTTTTCATCAGAGCCGCAAACAATATAAACCAAATTTTTAGCATCCACAGTGGTCAACGCAGGAGCAAATATCAGAACATGTATCCATAAGCTGAATCCCAAAGGTTTCTGCAATGTTGTGTGTGGTGTACAAAGATTCATATTCACTGCTGTGCCTCTCTGTGACTGTTTTCAGGTTGTGCCAGGGCGCAAATAACGTTGGTGAGTGTTAATCATACATCTACTTTTTAAAAGAAACAATGTATTTCTGCTATTTCTGCATAAGAAGCACTACGACTGTTTAGTCTGTTCTGCATGTACAATACTGTATATCCACTCATTTTAAGTACATTTACTCTGATTGTTTATAACTCCATGTATCTTGTATCCAGAAAATTTGCTCAGGCATTCTTGCATAAGGGAGGATTCTGCTGCTTCAAGATTTGTTCATTATTGACTGAAGACAAACACCAGACACTTTCAGAGGACAATAATGTTTGGATTATGCAGTTACTCACTTTGCCCACTTTTCAAGATGATCCCCCATGCAAAGATAATGGATGGGCTTTACTTTGTCTACAGTAATAACAGCTATGCATGATGAGCATTTATAAATTGTACTCAATAAAATCTTGTGACGATCACAGGGTCAATGATTCACAAACATCCGAGTTTTTGAGAGCTGATTTTATTGGTCATTGAGACACGGTTTAAAAAGAGCACTGTTTCAGAATGTCAAGAAATAAAACTTTACAAGTAATTCTGTGCAAATGCCAAAGAAAAACAAAATCCATCAGCAAAACAAGCTTAAGATGCAACAGTTACTATTTCTATTATTATCTTTAGCTTTATAATTTAATTTCCATCTGTTTTTTAATTCATTTCTTACCAAAAGCAGATTGAATAGAACAATTTTTGTAATATATATATATATTTGGCCATTTTGTGCTTTTATGGAGAGATAGGTCAGTGGATAGAGTCAGAAATCAGGGAGAGAGAGAGAGTAGGGAATGACATGTCGGAAATGAGGAAACCCGCTTGGAGGACCACAGCCTCATTTGACTTTAGAGTCACTGATTAACATAAGGAATAAAGGCGCCCCTGTAAGCTCAATAGTGTAATACCCAGATAGAGCACACCTTCCTGTCCTTCTGTTTCAAAATGGGAACCACTCCTATCAATTTACAGGCACTGTCCCGGACCTCCATGTGACACTGAAGAGACGTGTTAGCAAAGAGAGCCCAACACACTGTCACGAGCATTCTCCCTGCCACTGAAGAACACTCTGACTACCTCAGAGACCACTGCCAAAGATGGTTGAGACTTCCACTGGATCTTTGAAATGTGCCACTTCATCAGATGGAATGCTACTTTGGTTCAGTTCTTCCTTTAAGAAAACAGCAGTAAACAAGCCCTGCTTTCCTTCCTTGGTTCTTGAAACTGTAAGAACTTCCTTGAGGTCAGCCAAAACCCCCTATCCATAGCCTCCCAGCCTCTTCCCACACCCAGGTTTTAGCTGGAGTCTTCCGGCCCATCTGGTGCTTTTCTGCTGGGCTATCTGAGTCTGAAAGATTTCTTCAGATTCAATGGCTGCTGTCATAGCAGGCACCAACACTTATTGAGAGCCAAAAGAAAAGGGGCTCAAGCTCCTGTCTTACCTTCTCTCCTTAATACTTTTGTCCTGGCAGATGAAGTATGCCACCTAGCTGTACCTGACCTTACTTTTATGACATTGTAATGTTGGGCCACGCAGGCTTAGGACAATCAAACAATGGACTTGGGCCTGCACCTCTGTAAAAGCCTCATTTGAGTTATTCACTGAGATCACAAAGAGGCCTAAAAGGACTCTTAATCCCAGAATCCCCTGCGGTACTTCACACCTACGCGTGAAGTAAGGGGGGGACCGGAACCTCTCTCTCCTCATTGGAGGGGACCTGAGGTAGACCCCCCATGGAGCAGGCCAGGCTACAAAAACTCCAAGACTTCCATTGCTCGACCTCTTTCCACGCGCTGACTTGACTCGGAGATCCAAGCTCACCTCCTGTTTCTGCAACAATCTTCCTTTGTTTTAAGTTTTTTTGGCGCGCAGGTAATACGCGGCCGGCAGTGTTCTAAATTCCGAGCTCGGATTGTCCAGTGAACGCATCTCAGTTTCTCGGAGAGCGTCAGACTATAACAGATTATCAGAAAGATAACGGTCTTATTCCGTCCTGCAACGAAAGGACATCAAAGGACATCTTTCCACTTGACGGAGAACCAACGAAGCCGCTCTCGCCGTAAGGGACCCTCGCCGCCATCAGACGCCTCTGCACCAGGACGGACAGACGATTTGTTTTATCGCCGGACTCTTTTCCTTTCACCAATCGCGGACACAGCGATTCACAAGTGAGGCTTAATTAGGTCTGGGCAGAATTAGCTTTCTGCAATTGTTGATCGAAGCAGAAACTGTCATTTTTATCTTTGTTGGACCGCTGCGTCCTGAGTTTTAACTGTTTAAAACTCTTGTTGTTGTTTCGGACCGCTGCGTCCTATATGTGTTTAGTGTAACAGCGTTATAACCGGGTATTAGTCTTCTGATCAGAAAGGCCAGTGTAAACCGTATTAACTTGAATTCGGCCATTGGTTTGTTTCTGTGAATGAAGGGAATTACTCCGAGTTGTGGCGCGGGAGTCGGACTGTGATCCGGCCTCTTAAGGCACGCATTTCTCTTTTATTTCCCCTTTTACGAACATACACACACACATATTCCTGTGTAAACGTACATCTGGAGACTAACTCCATCTCTGCGCCATTACGCACATAGGCCACACACACACACACACACACACACACACACACACAGATCTATTCACTCGCAGCCATCCAGACGCCTCAGAGACACAGATCGTGTAGGGCCAAACTCGGCCTCTTTTAGACATTAAGGCCACATTGAGGTCTCTGTTAGGTGTGCGCCATCGGAAGGGCGACCACGTGGGACGAAGTAATCTTCCCCCCCTTTTCTCTCCCTTTCATCCACACGCACGCACGCAAGCACCCAGGTCTTTGTTAGGTTTGCGCCATCGTGAACGACCACGTGGGTACGAAGCCATCTCCCCCCTTTCTTCTTCCCCCTCTCTCTCTCTCTCTCTCTCACACACACACACACACACACACACACACACACACCTACATTCACACCCTTTTCACAAGCCTTTGCTTGATAATGTTTGTTGCTTAGATTAGTTTGTAATAGTTATTTGTTCATTGATTTTGGATTGATGTTGCTTTGTTTAAATAAATTCTGTTATAATTTTAAGAGAGCAGTTGTTTGTGATTACTGGTTGTATTTGCATTGTGATATAAGCTGGGTGCGAAGGCTTTGTGTACGGATTTCACACCTTCAATTTATTAAATATAGTTATTCATTATTAATAATATTAGTAATTAAATAACTAATTTGAGACTGATTTGAGTGATATTTTGGTTATATTTACCTGATTACAGGTTGGTGCCCCAAAACGAGATTAAACATAGTTTAATGATATTTTATTTATATTATTAATAATTAAGTATAATTATTAAAGAATATAACCAAAGTTGACTTGATACAACCCCAACAAATGGTGCCCCGTGTGAGGCCTTCAATAAACCAGCTTTGTTGCACTGTTAATGCACAGTAATCCAAACTTAAATCCTAAAAGGGATCCTTCTGAAGAAAATTATATTTTCTTTAATTTTTTGTGGTTTAAGCAAAGCAGACATCAAGCTGTGGCTTAGTTGTGTTGTATGTTGTTGGTTAATGGTTAAAGCCATAACTGTTATCCCTTTGGGTCCATACAACAATTGGACATAATGATGCAGCTAGTGTGACTTTATCAAGGAACTTGATTTGTTGCATTAATCTAGATTTTGATCCTGAAGCATTCTACTAAAGGACT